GCGCTAAGCTCGGCGCCAGGCGGAGGGGGGCCCGCCAGCCCCGCCGCAGCGCCGGAACCCCGCGCCGTGCCCCCGGCCCAATGCGGACCCCGCCGCCGCCCGCAGGCCGCGCTGCCCGGCGGCCAGAGGGGACGCCGCTCGGCCGGTCCTCACCTCGATGTACCCGGCCAGCACCGCGGCGGGCGCCGTAAGCCCGAGCAGCAGTAGGATGAGGAGCTTGCCGGTGGCCGCAGCGGCCGCGGTCCGATTAGCCGCCATCCCTCTCCGGGTCGCTCTAACGCGGGGCTCTCAGGCGCTCACACACAGCCCCACCGAACCGCCTTTCCTACAGCGACCCAGAAGCATCTGAAGCTCGTTCGCCGCCGCCCGGGGGTTTTACACCAACCGGAACTGACTTCACAAAACCACGCCCTGCTCCGGTGGTGCCCAATGCCGGACTGCAGAACTGTCCCAAGACAACGCCCCTTGCTCAGCTCAAATCCAATCAGAAAACGGAAGCTCCAGCTCCTCCCACAAGCCCAGGCGCGCGCCCCCGCTTGGCCCCGCCCCCGGTCGCGGCTAGCCCCGCCCCTGTCTTGAACCCCGCGGCCGCTAGGCGCAGGGCTGTGCGAGGGGTGGATCCGGGGTCGCCGCTCCGAGGGCGGGAGCCGCTCGTGCGGTTATCTGTGGATGATGCGTTGGTTCATCCGCCCTTAGCCTAGGGTTTTGAGCACGCTCCGCTCTCCCACCCCCTGCGGGGTATTTTTCTTAATCCTTTGGGTCCCACCCTCTTTAAGGGTTCTGGAAAATGTTTTAATTAAAAACAGAATAAATTGTTAGGAATCCTGGACGGTTTGCTAAGGACGGTCCCCCGAGGCGTGGGAGGACCGAAGCCCACAGCCTCTTTGCTCCCCAGTGCTGCATGGGGCACGCTCCTCCCCCAGCCCACTGTGCCCTTGCCCCGTCCCTGAACCCTATGGTGTCTCCATGCTGTTGACCTCTGCTTCTTAGGTCCCGGGTCGTGTCATGTTCCCCCCCCCACCACCAGCCTGTCCTGCCCCTGCCGCAGAGGCCAGTGATGCGAGGACCACTGAAAAGCTAGGCCTCCTTTTTCGCGTGTTTCAGGGAAGGATTCTGGCTTCTTCAGTTGATCACTAGAGCAAAAGACCCGCTTTCTCCCTCTCTCCTTGCTCCTCTGCATCTCCACTCCTGGGAAAGCGTCCTGCTGTCCCATTTCACAACTGGCACTTCGCCGTCACGAGGACTCTGCTGGCTTGATTTCCCTTTCATAGCCTGTGATTTATGCAGCATCCTCTGCAGAGACCTGGAATTTCTTTCTTTTGGTTCAGTCAAACAGAGAACCAGGTCCCTCCCCACAGGAAACTGATAGTGGAAAGGAAACGACAGTGTTCACAGTGGGCAGAGTGGGGCAGTGAGAACCCTGGATTTTCCAGCCGTGTTCTGTGCCATATGCCTCCATGAACAGTTCCCCACTTAAAATGGCTCTGCCTCATTCTCCAAAGACGCAGGGCACTTTTCCATGCACAGCCCTTCCTGTTCCTGTTCTGTTCCTGCAGTGTCCTCCATGCTCCAGCCACTGGAAACATTTTCACTCTTTGCTCACGTATATGTCATTCCACCCTGTGGCACTTTCCCCTAGTTGGTCACTACTTCTCTTACATCACTGGCAAGCCTTGGGTGTAACATGCTGCAGTGCCTCTCACAGTGGATGCCTCAGCAAATCTGTTCAGTAACTGAGCCCAGTGGTCTCTGGTGCTAGGCTGAGTTCTAGCACTGGCAAGAGTTTAGCGCTGAATTTGCCCTCTCCCCCATTTATACAAATCTTGGTGTTTTTCAACGTGGCCTTTGGATGAGGCCATGGGGATGTGGGAGGCATTTCTTGATGGGATTAGTGACTGGGATGTGGGAGGCATTTCTTGATGGGATTAGGGACTCTTAGAAGAAACAGGGGCACTAGAGAGCTTGCCCTCCCCTCTCTTCTCTGTCCCTCTACCCCACCTGTTTGTGAAGACAGCAGAAAGGCAGTCATCTGCAAGCTAAGACATGGACTATCACTAAAGTGACACCTTGATCATAGACTTCACACTTTAGAACTGTGAAAGATAAGTCCTGTAATTTAAGACACATGGTATATAGTATTTTGTTACAGCAGCTGTTGCTAATACGACTTTGTAACATTGAGCAGGTTCTTTCAGTACTTCAGACGCTGTCAAGAGTGAATAGTAGGGGCTGAGGATGTAGATCGGCTGATAAAACGCTTGCCTAGAAGGCACAAAATGCTAAGTTCAACTCCAAAATCACATAAACATAAAGATAAAATCACATAAACCAGGCCTATATTTCCAGGAGGATTAGGGATTCAAGGCTGAGTGTGAGACCAGCCTGGATTAATGAGAGCCTATCTCAAAAAAAAAAAGTGAATATTAAAGGTTATATCATTTCACCAATTTATGAGATTCAATGGAAACAGTACAGTTTTCCAAGTACACCAAGCATAGTGGCACACACCTATAGTCCTAGCACTTGGACAGCAGAGGCAGGAAGATCAGGAGTCATCCTCGACTACATAGCAAGTTTGAGGCCAGATGGGCTACATAAGATCCTCACACACACACACACACACACACAAAAAAAGTTCATGTCAATGACCAAAGTTTAAGAGTACACTTAAGATATGGGCATTTCTTTTTAAAAATGTTTTATGTGTATGAGCGTATTGCCTGCATGTATGTATGCACACCTGTGTCGTGCAATGCCCAAGAAGATCAGAAGAGGGTGTCGGATTCCCTCTTTGGAACTGAAGTTACAGACAGTTAGCCACCATGTGGGTGCTGGGAATCGAACCCAGGTCCTCTGCAAGAGCAGCCAGTTCTGTTAACTCTGGAGCCATCTCTCCAACCCCATATGTGCATTTCTTTGTTAGAAAAAAAAAAGTGAAACTTATCTCCCTTCCACTTTTTTTGAGATAGGGTTTCACTGTGTAGCCCTGGCTGGCCTGGAACTTGCTATGTAGACCAGGCTGACCTCAAACTCAGAGAAAGCTGTCCTTTCACTATTTTTACATGAGCAGCATCCTCCCTTCATCTGGCATGTGTGTAGCCAACACCTATGGGGAGTGCAGACTGTATAACAGTTGCCTCCAAATTAAGAAGCTTTTCTGAATCATTTAAGAAGTTTGTTAAAAAGAACCCAAATATCAGAAATTTGAGCTCTCTAAGGCTGGAATGGCCTAAGGGAATCAGCATAGGCATTTATTTGCAAGGTTTTTAGGAAATTCTAGTTTGCTAGTTTTGTTTTGTTTCTTTTTGGTAGTGCTAGTAATTGAATCCAGGGTAGTGAGCAAACCAGGCAAATACTCCACCCTCAGCTATGTCCCCCAGTCTGCTAGCCCTTTTGAGAATCAGTGCTCTAATGCAGTGATTGTTCAATTCATAAATATCATGGATGGGGAGGAAAAGGGGGGATGTGGCTTTGTTGAGATAGAGTCTTTCTATGCCTTAACTTTTGATTCTCCTGCCTTTACTTCTTAAATGCTGAAATTATAGGCCTGTGAATCCAAATTCAGAAAAATGTTTTTAATTGGAAAGTTTTTTTTCAGTTGTCTAAATTAAAGCCTTAAATTAAGATATATAACTTGAACATGGGGCCATCACCTGCAGTTGCATTTCTCAGAAGCCTGAGGCAGGCCTTCCTTGACTCTGGAGTTCAGGGGCAACTTGATCAACATGGAGACCCTGGCTCGAGAAGAGAAAAAAAAATGTATATATTTGTCTTTTGGAAGCAGGGTCTCCCTGTAGCCCCAGCTGTCCTGGAACTCACTATGTAGACCAGGCTGGCCTTGAACTCACAGAGATCCGCCTGTCTCTGCCTCCCAAGTGCTGGGACTACAGGCATGCGCCACCACACCCAAAAAAAAAGTATTTTTTATAAATATGATATAGTGCTATTTTTCACTATCATTTCATGAAAGGTGAAGAGCAGCTAACAACAAAAAGGTAAGGATGATAATTCAAAATTTTACAATTAAATAGAATATACTTTTGGATAACTCCTTACATTGCTCTTCTTATTCTCATTATAATTCATACTGGTAGATGCTTCTAATAGAATAGTCCTTGTTTAACAGGGTTGGAATGATTGCAGTTGGGAAAATGAATGTGAATATATTATGTTCCTTGGCTAATGCTGGTAGCCTTCACAGACCTGTTTCTTTCTATACATTGCCTTCCTCCTGATCGTTTTTGTCTGCCTCAGTATTTAAGATGTAGTTCAGGTATTATTGCCTCTCTGGTAATGTGCTGGTCTTCTGCTTCTTCCTGACTGAATTTAGAATACCTTTGTGTTCCCAAAGATATTCTATACACATCCCTGTTATACTACTTGTAAACTAAGTATAATCATGAGTTTGAACCTTGAGCCCTGAGGGTAGCTACCTCCACAGTCTAGCACAGGGATTGTTCTTAATGAGCTTTCAAAGAGTATTTGCTGGACCAGAGGTGTGGTGTAGTGGAAGAACATGTGCTTAGCCCTGCATTTCATCCCCAGCACTCCTGAAAAGTTATTGGATGAATACATAACTAAATGAGCTTTAAAATCTGGTAGAGAAGAGGGCTAGAGAGATGGCTCTTCAGTTAAGAGCACTCACTGCTTTTCCAGAGGACTTGTGTTCAGTTCTTAGGACCCACAGGGCAGCTTACAACCACCTGTAATTCCAGTTACGGTGGATCTGATGCCCTCTTCTGCTTCTCTGAGCAATAGAGATACATGTGGTACACATACATACATACAGGCACTCACAAATACACATAAAATTAAAATAAATCTTTTTTTAAAAACCTGTCAGAGAAGAAAAAAGTTATGCCTGCATAAGTATCATACCCAGTGGAAAGTCATAAAAGGCATAAGAAGAGAACTGAAGTTTATTAAGAGTTTAGAGGAGGAGGAAGTTAGTTACACCAGCGTTGAGAACCTCAGGCAGAGATTATAAAGGATATGGTGCCTGAGATTTCCTGGGCATATATACAGGATGCACATAAACAATGTCAGACAAGAACAAGCCAAAGAAGCAAAGAAGAAGCAAGCAGAGTGTGGCAGTGAGAAACAATGAGCTTGTAAGGGAATAGATGAGCATTTCACTTTATTGGAGCACAGAGTTTGTAACACATAGTTAAGATAGGACAGTCAGTGCGTTTACCCAAGAAAGCATAGCTAAGAATGTAGAATTGATTTTCAAGCAAGAATGAATGTGACAGCTACATAAGCTAGAGAAGCTACATGACTAGAGCCTAGAGGAGAGGGAGCAGGCACCTACTATGACTCTGGGAAAGAATAAGTATGGAAAAATCTG